GGGAGGTTGGGGGGGGCGGGGTCCCCACTGTAGTACCCGCTGACGGTGATAGAAAAGTTGCTCAGTCCAACAGGTCGACAGTCCTTGGTAATTTCTGGACCCTGTGTCTGACCCCTGACCCCTGACCCCAAAGATTCCTAGTGGTGATTTTAAGTGTGGACCACGATGCCCTGCTGTGACTTTCTCAATTCACAGAAATGTAGTGAGACACTTGACCCTGTGAATTAACCAGTTTACGATGTTAATAAACCTCAAATTAATTTGACGTCAGGTTTTCTTTAAAATCTTGAATCTCAAAAATCAAATGTCTGTGAATTTAAAGGTAAAATCTTTGTGCCATGTCTTTAACCGGGGGTGAGGAACCACAGTTAGTGTTGAAATTCCACACTGACTTGTTAAGAACACTGTAACGACACACACACACACACACACACACACACACACACACTTACTGCCGATCATATCAAAGTACAGCAGACACAGCGTTAATAGTTAAGCTCTTCCAAGGTGACCTTAAACTGGCCACACTGGGATCCAACGGTCAGATTAGCTCCACCTGCTGGTCGTTTTCATTACTAGTCCAGAGCAAGCATGGGCAAACTATGGCCCGGAGGCCGGATGCGGCCCGTTTGGCTTTTTAATTATATTATTAATTTCTATTTTCATGATACTTTTTACTGCAATACCCTCGTTTCTCCATAGATGGCGCAGAAAAGGCTTAAAGCATTTTAGCCTTTATGACTTATGTCTTCTTTTTTTAAAATGTATCCTCTGCAGGCGATAGCGATCGTGATGGACCTGCTCACAGATCTGCAGATCCTGCAGGACCTGATGGACGCGGCGTTCCGGCGCTCTGTCCCCATCTACATCCTGTTGGACAACCAGGGCGTGCCACACTTCCTGGATATGTGCTCCAGGCTGCAGATTGGTGCGCCGCACCTTCGAGTAAGATGGCACTATCACACAGACACACTTCACTCCACGACAGCACATGTGCGTCAGACCAAAGCAGTGACCGTGATGTCACCCCCCTCCCCCTCCTCTCCCTCCTCCCCCCAATGCAGCAAATCCGGGTCAGAACCCTGCAGGGAGTCGGATTTTATATGTCATTTGGAAAACTGCCTGGGTCGCTGTCTAACAAGTACATGCTGATAGACGGGGACAAAGTGGTGTTTGGCTCCTACAGGTGAGTTGGTGAAAGTTCAACTAAAACTGAAGTGTTTCCTGTCAGATAAAAAAAAAGTTTTACTCTCATCCACCTTTAACTGCAGTTATTTAAATCAGAAGGAAAAGAAATGTGACGAAATAACGTCAAACATAAAATCAAGGAAACACTGCCCCCTGTAGGAGTAATGTGTTTATTACCGTAACTGAAAAAAGATTCTTCATGTCGTGCATTAATATGGATTCAGTTTAGCATGAAATTTTTTTCTTCTTATTATCATGAGATAAAATTTAAAATCAAACAATATTTTTACAATACTATTATAATTTTTTTTTTATTTTACTAATGAAAAAACACTGAGTTTTTTACTATTGTTTTTTAAATTTAGATTTTTTAATGTTTTACATTTTTTGGCTTTAGACTGTTAAATATTAAAAGTATGTTTACTTTATTGTCTTTAATCACAGGTTTACTGTTGATTTAGTTTTTAATTACAATAACAATATGGACAACACGACATTTAAATCCTAATTAATTGATGTTTTATTTCTAACAGTGAAGTTTTGTGACTGCTGTGTTTACCATATGTTCAGGTTCTGTACAATAAAATAGGAAAATGCCATTGGCTCAGACAAGTTTAGACACATGTTGGTTCGTGAAAACTCCGACAGGCCCAGACACAGCAGCGTGAACATCGTTTCCAAACGACTGATCAACATTTTCAGATGTAAACTCGACGACAGCTGCACTGCTGCAGGATTTACCGGAAAAAAAATAAAATGATGATGGAACCTTAAAGGTTTACGACTAAGGCTAGTACAGAAGTCATATTTAAAGATGGGTGTGGTTGTCTCCTCCTCATGTCATCACCCTGAAGGTCATGAAGTCTGGGCTCCTTTCAGACTTCACCTAAATCTGATCCTTTACTCAAACAGTCTCTGTGTAAAATAATGAGCAGCAAAAAGAAAAAAAAAATCTTAAACTTCTGTTTCTCTCCGACCCAGCTTCATGTGGGCAACATCCCGTATGGACCGCAACATGATCACCGTCATGACAGGACAGGTGGTGGACTTCTTCGACCGCGACTTCCGCGAACTCTACGCCATCTCTGAGAACCTGGACCTCTACAAGGAGTTCAACGTCAGCCGACCGGCCGCTGGTTCCACCGCCACCATCCGCTCTAAGGTGGGACCCAAACGCCCGCCCTTACCGGCCACCACGTCCCGTTTCCAGGTCAGCCTGGGGGACTCGCCAAGGGATAAAATTGAGGTACCGGCACACAAATACTACAACCCCAAATACTCACTGGCGTTTGGAGACGCCCTGCGGCCGACGGGATCTCTGCAGGAGAAAGGCCCGAAGAGAGGATCGACGATGGCGAGGCTCGCCGAGGAGCTGGACGATGGAACGCCGCGGGTGACAACCAGTGAGAAAGGGGAACGGCTGAGTCCGCTGCCCTCCGACGCCCCCAGTGACACCTTCAAAAGAGAACGGGGTGAGACGCTGAACAAGAAAGGAAAGCAGACCCTGAAACAGAAGCTGTTCGGCAGGAAATCCTCCAATCAACCCACGAAGCAGAACCTCCCGAACAGCACCTCAGCCACGAGACAAAGTGAACTTAGAAGGACTGAGGAGGGGGAGGAGAAGGTGGAGGTGGTCGGGAGAGAGTCGTCCAGATGGAAGGGGAAGAAAATGGGCAAGAAGACGGAGTCTCAGCAGACCATTAACGCTGTGCATGACAACGAGAGTGAGTACGGAGAAAACGAGAAGGTGATCAGAGTGACGTGAGAACTGGGTTCAGTCCAGGTTTAAACTCACACTAATGTTTGTTAGAACGTCCGTAAATTGAGCGAAACAGCTCCCCCTAAAGGGCTGGGTGTAACTGTAAGATCGTACCGATGTTAAACTGCGTGGACTTTTTTATTAAAAATGAAACACTTTTTAAGCTCCTGCAGAAACATGTTCTAAATAACTATGACTAATGTTGTGTTCTTATAGGCCGCTGAAGGACCAATGAGAATCTAGGAACTCAAAATGAATGTACA